AGCAGAACATGAACCCTCAGACGAATAGAACGTGAACCATACACCAGCAGAACATGATTCGTACAATAGTAGAACATGAACCCCTAGACCAGTAGAGCATGACCATAAACCAGCAGAACCTGAACTATGCACCAGTAGAACATGAACGCCTAGACCAGCAGAACATGATTCGTACAATAGCAGAACATGAACCTCTAGACCAATAGAACATTTACATAATCCAGCAACACATGATTCGTACAATAGCAGAACATGAACCTCTAGACCAATAGAACATTTACATAATCCAGCAGAACATGATTCGTACAATAGCAGAACATGATTCGTACAATAGTAGAACATGAATCGTGCACTAGTAGAACATGAGCCCCTACACCAGTAGAACATGAACCATATACTAGCAGAACATGAACCATGCACTAGCAGAACATGAACCGTACACTAGCAGAACATGAACCATGCACTAGCAGAACATAAAACCCTCCACCAGTAAAATATTTAACACAACATCAGTAGAGGAAGTATAATCTGTAAAACATTCATGATATTAAATATGTTGCTTGGAAAACTTAACGTCAATAATGTTCAATAACATACACCAAGTTCAACAATGTCAGATATTAAACACTTGACGTCAACAATGTTCAATAACATACACCAAGTTGAACAATGTCAGATATTAAAACTTAACGTCAACATTGTTCAATAAGATAAACCAAGTTGAACAATGTCAGATATTAAAAACTTAACGTCAACAATGTTCAATAAGATACACCAAGTTGAACAATGTCAGATATTAAAAACTTAACGTCAACAATGTTCAATAAGATACACCAAGTTGAACAATGTCAGATATTAAAAACTTAACGTCAACAATGTTCAATAAGATACACCAAGTTGAACAATGTCAGATATTAAAAACTTAACGTCAACAATGTTCAATAATATACACCAAGTTGGACAATGTCAGATATTAAAAACTTAGCGTCAACAATGTTCAATAAGATACACCAAGTTCAACAATGTCAGATATTAAAAACTTAACGTCAACAATGTTCAATAAGATACACCAGGTTGGACAATGTCAGATATTAAAAACTTAATGTCAACAATGTTCAATAATACACACCAAGTTGAACAATGTCAGATATTAAAACTTAACGTCAACAATGTTCAATAAGATAAACAAAGTTGAACAATGAAAATACTGTTTAGATGAATCACAAGTGTAGACATGATGAACAATAAATCACTCAGATTAATGAGGTACGTTAATGACTGGTTATTTAACTTAATCAGGTCAGAAATATAAGAAAGTGGAACGATTGTAAAAAAATCAGGCGTGGTGTCAGATTGAACGTTTATTCTTGACAGATCTGAAACAGTTTAGAAAGTTTTATTATTACTTGGTTTATCCAAATATTCAGACGTCAAAAGGAAGTTTGTTGGTAAGTAGATAAAAAGTCCCTGTTGGCCACATCTTGTTGAGCCTACTGTATATGGTGCACTGCCATGAAGGACATCTGGTGGTCCGATTCTGATGTCTGCTGTAGAATACCACCTGCTGCTGATTACTTTATCAGGACGATTTGTCCAGTTGTGGCCGGAGGACGGAACTACTAGAGTGACCTCCCGGAAATAAAACTTTCCGCTAGTGGCATGGAATAAAAGTTTCGATGTCTTAAAGAGAAGATCCTAGGGGAAAGGTTTGTAATAATAATTAACATAATAAATGTGTCTTTACAGTACTAATTAACATAATAAATGTGTCTTTACAGTACTAATTAACATAATAAATGTGTTTTTACAGTACTAATTAACACAATGATCTTGTCTTTACAGTACTCATTAACATAATGATTTTGTCTTTACATTACTAATTAACACAATGATCTTATCTTTACAGTACTATTTAACATAATAAATGTGTCTTTACAGTACTAATTAACATAATAAATGTGTCTTTGCAGTACTAATTAACATAATAAATGTGTCTTTGCAGTACTAATTAACATAATGATCTTGTCTTTACAGTACTAATTAACACAATGATCTTGTCTTTACAGTACTATTTAACATAATGAACGTGACTTTAAAGTTGATATTCAGACTAACACTTATGTAAAATCTCAAATTCAAAATTCTCTTAAAAAGCAACGCTTTATTACACATTATATGTAATGTATAATACATTATATACAAACTATACTAAATCGTTGTTAGTTAAAATCATTTTGATGCGAGTATCATTGTGAATCTATATGGGAAGATGTTTTGCCAGATAAAAACTGAAGCAGAGAAAACACCTGGCATTGTTAATGAAGTGCAGAAGAAATAATATAACACCGAAGTTCATAAATAAAATAAAATTACAAATCAGAAAGTGAGATATGAACTAAAGAGAATATTATCAAAACAAAAGAGAAGATGCTGAATATTCTGAGAACTGTAGAGAAGATGCTGAATATTAAGAGATCTAGAGAGAAGATAATGAATATTCTGAGAACTGTAGAGAAGATGCTGAATATTATGAGAACTGTAGAGAAGATGCTGAATATTATGAGAACTGTAGAGAAGATGCTGAATATTATGAGAACTGTAGAGGAGATGCTGAATATT